TGCTTGCTCTTCCAGGCTGTCCAGAACATTGGCAAATTCAGTTACTGATTGATATTCTCTTTGGTTTGCCCTATGGTAGTTTAGTGCCGCATTGCGTCATTGGAGACGTGGATCTGCAGTTTCTCTTTGGCAGAAGGCTTGAAAAGTTTCCCAAGTGGCATCTGGATTGCTCTTCCTCTCGCGCATCCAGCGATTGATCAAGTCATTGCTGAGGAATGCTGCCGCAGTTGCTATCTTGCCTTTTTCATTGAGCGCAAAATAGTCGTGATACATCTCAAAGTGATTTGTCAATTTGTTCATGAACGTCTCGAGTTCCTTGTTGCCTGAAGCGTTGAAGGTGGAGACATTCTGGATGCTGGGTGGAGGTTTCTTGAAGTGCGTGGATTCAGTTCGCGCACTAACTGAGGTTGAAGGTGTACTTGGTCGAGTTGGGAAATCAATCTCAGACGCAGGTGCGGAAGGTTCGGATGGATGTGCGTTGATCATCTCATGAAAGGGTATATGGTCTTGTTGGCGCAATCGCTGTTCAATTTCTTGTAGTTCTTGTAGTTTTATTCGTCGAATTTCCTTTTCCTGCGCTCTTTCTATAGCTGTGTCGATTTCTGGTATGGTGGCATTCCGCAGGTCGCGCTCCTGCGTTCGCTCGACTTGGGGGGGTTCCGTAGTATTGGTAATGTGCGGATTGTCAGGGACTCTGTTGTTTGTTTGCTCTGCATTCGAGTTCTGCGTAGTTCGTTTTGGAGGCATGTTGGAGTGAAATAACGTCTCACCGAGGCTATCCTGATAAAAAGAGCGATTAGGATTGTGAGAGAAGGTCTATAGATAGCGCAGTGAGTGTTATGAGAAGTATATGCATAGTATTCACAGTACTAATCGCTGATGTCCTGTCCTCGGCCATCAGCGAGGTTAAGACTTTATGTCGCGGTCATGTGATGTGCGGGTGCTTATTAACCGCACGTGCGCGTTATGTACATGCATAAGTCCGCTATGCGGCTTTGTATCCTAACAACCCGCCACCCTACCGCCTACCCTACTCTTTTGAACGCATTTTTAACCACATTAACGCCAGTATATTAGGTAAAGAACTATCTGTGAGGGCAATGGTTTGACCTGTGTCCTTCCTGTCCGCATATGCTACATTTTGGTAGCTTCCTTCTCGCAGGAACTGGCAAATTAGGTGAAATTGGTGCTTCTGCAGGGATGGGTCTTGGTGCTTCAATTGCTTCTATAGGATGCTGTATGATCTGCTGGCTCTCCTGAACAGTCATTCCACCCTCATTTAGTATCTGTCTATTAGATCGTCAGTGCTTTTGCTTCTGCAGCTCTGCTTCTCATGGGCAGCATGTAATTTGCATGCTTCAACCTCTAGTAGAGCAGTCAAATGCATTTGGATCTCACAGGCCTTGAGAACTTGGTTGATTTGCTGCTTCAGCAGGCTTGGAGGGCTTCTTGAGTGCTGCTTTAGCAAAGCCTTAATTGAACTAGCCTGCTGCTGAAGTTGTATAGGATTTTGAGGTGTCTTTGGTGAAAACTGGCTTGATTGACTTATTGGACGACTACCTGGGGGTGATGGTGTTTGGAGTATAATATCAAGCTTTGAAAGCACTTGCTCTGGGTTATATGGCACTAAACCAGCTCCTGCAAAGCTATTTTGAATAGTCTGAGATTGGAAAGCTTCCACACAAGCAATTGGGTAGGCGGCAAGAAAGTCAAACTTGTCAATATGGTTGAACCCAAGCCACATCTGGTTCTCAACTAGCTGGCCATATGCACACTTTAAAGGAGCAAAACACCCAATATCAAGTGGTTGCAGAAGATGTGAAGAGTGTGCTGGCATGTAAATTGGTATAATATTGTTCTCTTTGCAAACTTGGTCAAATTTAGGAGTTAAATGACTCCCATGGCCATCAAGGATTAAAAGTTGATATTTCCCA